AATCAAACAGCCCATGTCTTGGCCTAATGTGAGTGCTAAAAGCAGCCACGCGCTGTTAGCTTAACTGCAGCTTTTCGACTCTCCCACTCACATTTCGGCTCTCCAGCTGCGGCTGCGGCTGCCTCTCCCGCTCTCGCTCTCTTTTAAGCTGTCTTGCATATGTCTGGAACGTGTTTTTCTTTTGCCGTCGCTTTGCTCGCTCACCGTTTGTGCGCTACCATTCTTCTGTTCAGCTTTAGTTCAATTCGAAACGCGTCTCAGCTCGGTTGTTGACCACGGTTCGACATCGACTTCGATTTCGACTGCGCTTTACGTATATCTACAATATAGAAACTGTGACTGTGCGTGTGAGTGTATTGGTATTTGAATGCCTGAGAGGAACAAGTGCGTCCGGCGCAACCTTAATGGCCGATCGCTCGTTTGTTCGGTCATCGAACGGTTTCCATTAGCAGAGCACGGCTCTAAATCGGAATTCGGTGCGTTCGCCAACTTCTTTATGCAAAGCGCGTAATTTTGCATTACGCTCGAGCCAAACGTCATCACAGACTAAAACCCTGCGCACTCCTCTCCCTGCCCCCTTTGCCCAGTTAACAGTAAAGTCACTCGGTCATTACGGCTGTTGTTGTTGTTCGAATTTGTTTGTGAGCGCTCTTACTTATATGTATTTGTCTGCATGCATATGTGTATGTGTGCATGATCGTATATATGATTATGTGTGGAAAATTTCACTTTGCATTGAAATCAAGTTTGGTTTTTAACAACTTGAATCACGCTGTGTGGTCACACTGTGCATGCCTCTTCATTTTTTCTTTATTTGCCTGACTGCACTTGTTGGCCAATTAAAAGCACCCACACCATAGGCATGTTTATGTTCTTAGCCAATGGAAAATTAGCATAGTCTTTTCGATTTGCCTGACCTCCCCACATAGAAACTGCCGAAGAATAAAAAATATCTATTAATTAAAAATATTAATTAAAAGTTTGCAACAAAAACGGCAACAACAAACACATTAAGTAATAAGTGAAGGTCAACAGCAATCGCTGTTCTTATTCCCTCACTCTCTCTCGGTATCTTTCTCTCTCACTCTCGTTCCCTGTTCATGGACAGTGGGATCGAAACATGTTTCACACTTTTTGTGTTTCTTTAAGAAATTAGCAGAAATTTATGGCTGCAAGCAAATATTTATATATAAAAAAATGACAAAGCAAAAGGAAAAATAGTAAAAATAATTGATTGTTTTTGCAATTGTTCCATTTTTTCCATCCACACAACATTTTTCTATGGATTTTTCCCCTTTTTTTTTCTTCTCTTTATACTTGAAATAAACCTTGAACTTTCTGATCCCCTTTCGTTTATCGAACAAAGGAATGAAATCATAATTTCGCTTTTAATTACTTTATAACGGTATCTAAATCGAATTCTTCGCCAATATTTTATGTGTGTGTTTTTTATTCAAATATACAGCAAAATATACAAAAAATATAAACCAGTTAAACGAGTAGCTTAATATTTGATTAAATGTGAAAAAAAAAACAACAAAATGCAAATACCGAGCAATCAAATAAATTGCTAATGAATTACAAATTGTTTTGCTAAATACAACGATAAGAAATACAAAATTACAAGCAAGTTGCAAAATTTAAAAAACAAAAACCTTTTTGGATAACTTTGAAGCTACAAAATATACAACAACAGCAACAACAAAATGCCTGTCAAACCAAAGCGGGCGTCACTGCCGGCGCCGCTGTTGACGTCGTTGTGGAGGCTCAGCGTCAGCCTCAGCTTCTTCATCGTCTTTTGCTGTGTCAGCAGCAGCATCGCACAAGGTGAGTGAGTTTTACATATGATTTTTTTTATTATATTTACGTACCACCGCACAACAAGTCGGTATACGAATAAAAATTAAAATTGAATCTTTTGAAAACCTGCGGGCTTTTCTGTCAGATTATTGTCGCAGGCAATGGCCCATTGTTATTCTTGTGTTACCGTTTTAATGCCCTAACAGAGCTAGAGACGTGCAATATTGCACGCTCATGACAAATCATCGTTAGCTTTTGTCCTTTGCCACAACAAGCTCGAAATCATCGATCGTCTTATTCCCTTCGCACATCGATATTAATTTCCATTATGTAAACATATATCGCAAGTTACATATAAGAGTTTGCACACGTAACGAGTAATCCACAGAGAGTATCTGACAGTCGTGCCCTCATAGTTGTTGTTCTTGTTTTGTCTCTGTTATCTCTTAGGTACCATTTTATGTTTAATTGAAAGCAGTATTGCGCCTCTGCTGTGCTGCTGATTCATGTCATGCTAATTTATCTCGGCCTTTACCAGCCGGAACTTCGTCGAGGTCTAGCAGCTGAAGAGCCTAGAGATACAGAAAAAAGATGATATGACACAATAAATGCGTGTTTAAAAATTAAGAGTTTTAATAAAAAGAATCGTCGACATTTGTCACGAAGAACTAAAAATGAAAAAACAACAGAAAGAAAGAAAACTTAACCAATAATAAGCTCACAAATAAATAAAACACGTACTTCCGCAGCTCAAGCTTAACTCTCCGCAACTTATACAAATATTAAACAAAATAAAAACGTTAAATAAATACTTAAATGCTAAAATACATACTACTTAAATACATATATGTATATATGTATGTACATATGTGTTTACGCAAGCTTGTACATAAATACATATGTACACGTGTACCTGCATGTATTTGCCTCTTCAAAGTTACCGTTGTTTTTCGCCCCTTTTTCGGCAACCTTTTACGACGATTGTTGTAATAAGATGACTTCGCTTTATAAGTGTGTTATAATGTCAATGTGTCAATAAAATCATTGTCATCCTGTGTGCAATGCGTTACAAGTTGTTTGTTGACTTAACGGTTAAATGTGAATGCAATCAAAGTGAGTTTCGATGATTTGCCACACTAAACAAATACGAGCTGCATTGTTCTTTGCTTTTAGCTGTGATAAACCGTTTTTCGATCATTCGAATTCGAATGAACTATAAAGGACTGACAATGATTCGAATTAACTTGTTCGCTCTTCTTGCATGTTTTGAATATTCGTTTTCTCTTCTCCACTTTCCTTTCTTCTTACCACGGTCACAGAGATGCCACCATGCTCAAAACTAAAGATGGCGAGGCACATCGCATTGACACGATTAATGAGAAATGTGTAATTAATCTTTACATAATTAATATTGATTGGAAATCATATATTATCTACAAACAAATATGTAAAACATGATATAATTATATTGACATAATATATAAACTGATTAAAAGATACGACAGACTGAATGACTGCCCCAACGACCATTTCGTAATCAATAGAAAACAACGCTTTGCTTGTATGTAAATCAAATATTCTTACGTAACGAATCTACAAAAAAAAACAAGAGATGACAAAACCTTTCTACTAACATCAAATTCAATACCGAAACAGAAATCAAAGCAGCGTAAAAACCGCAGAGAGCATATGAATTTCAGTAAAATAAAAATAACAACAAAAAAAAAAAAAATCAGCTATGGTAAGCAAGTCGAACAAAAACAACGCTAATGAAATTAACTTAGCTAATGAAGAGCTGATGAGCTCTGTGGAATAACTTACAAATAAACAAACAGACATACATATAGACACATGGGCATATAAATATATGTATGTATGTAAATACTTATTGATTCGAAATCAAGAAATACAACTCTTGGAAATCTACATTTATTTCATATACTAACATTTTGTCGCGCGTGTTGCCATACAAAAATCAAACAAGTTTCTGAGCGCATTTTTTGCCAACAACTATGCAAATTAAAACACTAAATATGTACACAAGTACGTCGGCGTGCGTGTGTGTGTGTAGCTTGTCTATAGAGAGCTGCTGATATTTTGTAACAATAAAGAAAACGAAAGTGAATCCGCTCATGGGCTGACTTTGAAAACCCTTGAGGTTACCCTTGTAGCACTCAAAATGTGCGCCATTTCACTTTTTCCAGCCATGCTCGTCACATTGTTAATTTGATCGAATTAAAATGTACACGCACACATGCACACACAAGTGTGTTAGATAGAGATGCCGCTATAGATATGTGTGGCTGCTCTATGCTGAAAGAAAGTGAAAAAAGTGGGCACAAAAACAGCAGGTTAATCAAGTGTCTGCCGTTTTGCCTCTCTCTATCCCTGTCTATCTCTCTCTCTCTCTCTTCGTTCCCCTACCGATCTCTTTTATGAAACTGTCACACATGAGCTTTCTGCGTCGATAAACAAGTCTAGTACGCAGTCAAATAACTAGCCCTATAAAAACAAGCGGAAAGTAAAGTTTATTTATTTGTTGACTTCACACATGTTTCAGTATTTGGCAGCGGGTTTTCTTTTTCTTAATTTGCGGTTTTCTGCGCTTTAATGATGAGAAACATTCCAATGACATTGTCCACGAACTATGGCTACGCACACATGCATGCATACATACATGTACATATATACAAACACACACACGTATGTATGTAAAACCCGCTTTGTAGCAGTGAAAAGTTACATTAACATAGAGCCATGCCATTGTAGCAACATGCCAAAACAAAAACAAAAAGATAATGTATAAAAATCAACATGCTGGCATTTATGCCAATGGCCAATTAAAATACTTGCATTTTTTTGGTATGCAGCGCACATTATTTCCGCTATAGTTAAGTGCAATTGCTTTTGCAGTTTAAAAGGAGTTCGAAAAAACAAGTAAGCCTATATTTGTTTTGGTAGAGTATACGCTTGGAAAATACCCTGTTTTCTCTTTTTCTTTAATAAAGAAAAGTATTTACATTCTGTTAAGTTCTTAATTCTTTGCATTAATTTCATTATGTATCGATTGTAGATGTAAGCTGAGAAAGTGTTTGATGTCAAACTTAAGTTATCGATATTTAAATTTAGTAATCTGGCATCGCTGGGCAGACATATTTCTTATTTGCCAAAGCAAGACGCTCATAATTTCTCTGTTATAAATAAAAATTCTCCCGAATTTGGTTGTACTGCTAAACGTCAGGTAAGGTGAATTGTTTCGTTTGTATAAACCGTGATTGTCTGTCCGTGTTTTTTATTCAAATCCTACTCAAATTGTTACACGTTTTGTGCTATCCAATATGAATTAGCATTAAAAATGTCTGGCTCATCTGCGGCCCATCGCTCTACCAAGAGGCGAAAAATGAATTGGGGAAGGGCTAAAAAGCCAAGTAAATGGACGCACAATGTCGAACAAATATTGGCCAAACGCTACGCGGATGGCCGACCGCAGCTATTGTTAAAGTGGGTCGGTTATCCATTACAGCAAAGCACCTGGGAGCCCATCGAGAACTTGAGCGGTGATTGTCTGTCCATGCTAGCGGACTTCGAGGCAGCTGAATTTGCCAAGCTAAACGCTCAAAATCGAGGCTCAACTCGCCAACAAGGTGCTGTCGACTCATCCCTACTGAAGCAAAAAATGGAATATGGAAAAACACAGAAAACTAAGCAGAAAAAGAAGCAAAAAAAGCTGTCGCCAAAAAAGAAGCTTGATCCAATGAATCAACTAAATCTGTCTTCAGATTTATGCAATGATCTTATGATGAGCAGCGACAGCAGCGACAATAAAAGCAGCGGAGGCAACAGCAGCAGCAGTAATAGCAGCAGCGACAGTGACAGCGACGCTGCATCAAAACGTCAGAAGCTAAATACAAAATCCAGTGATTTGTTTAAGGATCTGAAATTACCACCTAATCCTAATCTTAGCAGCGATGGTGATTCTGATGATAACGGCACATCATTGCCGAGACCAGTGGCATCAGCGGCTCCAAAGTTGCTGCCAATGGCACCAGTCATCCCAATACCATCCCAACCAGTGGCTCCAAATATGCCACTAGCGCCTCCAAAGAGGAGACCAAGGGCGTCAAGCAAGACAAGGATAAGGCCAGTGTCAATGCCTTTGCTTACAAATCCGGCACTAGCTCCATGTAAGCCACCAATGTCGTCTATTGCTACACCTGCACGTGCACCACCTGCATCACTTGAACCAGCTGCACCAAATTTGCCACGTTCATCACTTAAACCACCACTGTCGCAATTCGAACCACTTGATCTATCCCAATCAGAACAACCAACTCATAAGCGAAGCTCTAACCGAAAGGAAGACGATAATGTGAAAAACCCAAAGTTGGAATCCCGGTCAACAGCAAGTTTCGATGCGCAGGATTTATCCAAAAGTTCGTTTGAT